GATTAGAAGCTTTGTGGGATTAGCTGGTTATTATAGAAGGTTTATCGAAGGGTTTTCTAAGTTGTCACTTTCATTGACTAAGTTGACTTGTAAAGGTAGAGCTTTTGTGTGGGATGTTCAGTGCGAAGAAAGTTTTACAGAATTGAAGAAGAGGTTGACGTCGGCTCCGATTTTGACGTTGCCTAACCCAGGAGAGCCTTTTGTGGTGTATTGTGATGCTTCTAAGATGGGTTTAGGAGGTGTGCTTATGCATAATGGTAAGGTAGTTTCTTATGCATCAAGGCAGTTGAGGACTCATGAGAAGAACTATCCTACGCATGATTTAGAGCTTGCTGCTGTTGTTTTTGCATTGAAGATTTGGAGGCATTATCTTTATGGTTCTAGATTTGAAGTGTTTAGTGACCATAAGAGTTTGAAGTATTTATTTGATCAGAAGGAGCTGAATATGAGGCAACGAAGATGGTTAGAATTGTTAAAGGATTATGATTTCAGTTTGAATTATCATCCAGGAAAACCAAATGTGGTAGCTGATGCGTTGAGTCGAAAGACTTTACATATGTCAACAATGATGATTAAGGAGTTGGAATTGATTGAGCGGTTCAGAGATATGAGCTTAGTTTGCGAGGTTACTCCGAAGAGTGTTATGTTGGGTATGTTGAAGATTAATAATGAATTTCTAGACAGTATCAGAGAAGCTCAGAAGTTGGATGTGAAATTGGTAAATTTGATGGTTGGGATTGACCAGTCTGAGAATAGTGATTTTAAGTTAGATGTGCAAGGTGTGTTGAGATTTCGTAATCGGATTTGTATTCCTGATGATGCTGAGATGAAGAAAGTGATACTTGAAGAGAGCCATAGAAGTAAGTTGAGTATTCATCCAGGAGCTACAAATATGTATCAAGATTTGAAAGGTTTGTTTTGGTGGCCTGGATGAAGAGTGATGTGGCTCGGTTTGTGTATGCATGTTTGACTTGTCAGAAGTCGAAAGTTGAACATCAGAAGCCTGCAGGATTGATGCAACCGTTAGAAGTTCCAGAATGGAAATGGGATAGCATTTCAATGGACTTTGTGACGGGGTTGCCTAATACTTTAAGAGGACATGATTAGATTTGGGTGATTGTTGATAGGCTTACGAAGTCATCTCATTTTATTCCTATTAACATCAGTTTTCTAGTGCCGAAGTTGGATGAGATTTATATTAGTGTGATTGTGAAGCTGCATGGTGTTCCTTTATGCATTGTGTCAGATAGAGATCCAAGATTTACTTTTGATTTTTGGAAGAGTTTGCAAGAAGCGTTGGGTTCCAAGTTGAGATTGAGTTCAGCGCATCATCCTCAGACAGATGGTCAGACTAAAAGGACGATTCAATCGTTGGAAGACTTGTTGAGGGCATGTGTTCTTGAGCAGGGAGGTTCGTGGGATACTTATCTTCCTTTGATAGAGTTCACGTATAATAACAGTTACCATTCTAGTATTGGGATGGCACCTTTTGAAGCGTTGTATGGTCGAAGATGTAGAACTCCATTATGTTGGCATGAATCTGGTGAGACTGTAGTACTTGGACCTGAACTTGTTCGTGAGACTACTGAGAAGGTGAATTTGATTCGAGAAAAGATGAAAGCTTCACAAATTAGACAGAAGAGTTATCATGACAAGCGAAGGAAAGATTTAGAATTCCAAGCTGGTGATCATGTGTTTTTAAGAGTTACACCTGTGACTGGTGTCGGGCGAGCATTGAAGTCTAAGAAGCTCACTTCTCGTTTTATTGGACCGTATCAAATTTCAGAGATAGTGGGGAATGTTGCTTATAGAGTGGCTTTACCGCCTAATCTTTCGAATCTGCATGATGTGTTTCATGTGTCGCAACTTCAGAAGTATATTTTAGATCCATCTCATGTGATTCATATGGATGATGTGCAAGTACAGGATAATCTTACGGTGGAGACGATGCCTGTACGGATCGCGGATCGTGAAAAGAAGACACTAAGGGGCAAAGATATTGCCTTGGTTAAAGTGGTTTGGCTAGGAGCTGCCGGTGAAAGCATGACTTGGGAGTTGGAGAGCAAGATGCGAGACTCCTATCCTGAATTGTTTGCTTGAGGTACATTTTCAAGGACGAAAATATTCTAAATGGGGGAGAGTTGTAACGCCCGTAATTTAATTAATTATTTAATTAAATTATTTTTGGAATATTTGTTAAGATGTGTTGTAATTAATTGGATTTATTTTATTAAGTGGAGAAATAATATTAGAGATATAATATTATGTGGTGAAATAATATTAAAAGTGTAATATTATTTAATGTGGGCTTATTTTGAGAGAGTAGAAGTAATAAGGGGGTGTATTGGTTTTAAGCCCAATAAGGAATAATAGAATAATAGGGTTATTCTAGTATTTGTTATAAGGAGTAGAAAGAAAGAAATAGTAGAAGAATAAGGATTTGGAAGAGAACGTGCAAGCTGCTAGAGAAGTGGAAACCGGCAAGCACGTGAATCCAACCGGAAATTATAGAGCGACCTTCAATCCAAGGTAAGGGTTGGGTTCTAACTCTATAATTGGGTTTATGATGATTGGTATGTGGGGTTAGTGGTGATTGTTGTTTTGTTCTTGAATTGAGAATATATGATTGATGTATGATGAGAATTGATGAATTTTGATGAATATTGATGTCTTGATGCTGTTAAAATGCTGTAAGATTTTAGGGTAATTATGGGTGATGAATTGACGTGATTATAATAAGTTTTAGGGCTTTAGTTATGGAACCATAGTGAGATGCGGTGATGGAAAACATAGAATACTGCAGTGATGAAAATGCAGAATGTTACAGTGGTGAAAACGCAGAACTGTACGTGGAGGATTTCAGAAGTTGCTATCTAGAACAATGAATCAATTAGGGATGGCGTTAGGCGTACTGTTCTTAATTAGGTTGATAACAGGCAAAGAATCAAAATAGTAGGATGAAATAAAAAGTTGCAGTTTTTATATTAGAAGTATGTTGACTAGAGTTGCGTTAGATTAGTGCAAGATAGAAGTTCTGAAGTTAGACGTAAGTTGTTAGAAGATGTGTGGCATAGTGAAAGGTAGAAGTTCTGATGTTAGAAGTTGCACTAGTCAGAATTTGCATTAGTTAGAAGATGGCATTAGTCAGAAGATGTGATGATTAGAAGTTATACCTGATCAGAAGATGGGGTTAGTCAGAAGATGTGATGATCAGAAGTTGTATCTGGTCAGAAGATGGGGTTAGCCAGAAGCTGTAATGATCAGAAGTTGCATCTGATCAGAGGTTGCATTAGTCAGAAGTTATAGTAGTTAGAAGATTGTGTCGCCCAGAGGTTGCGTCATTAGAAATTGTGTATTTAGAAATAGCGTTGGTTAGAGGTTGCATGGTCAGAAGTTGGATGGCCTTTGTGTTGTTTTGTGTAGAGCGACGAACGTTAGATGCTTAGAAGCTGATGTTTGAGCTATAACAGTAGGAAAGTGACAGTCTTGATTTTAGAGTTACAGAATGACAGTGTTGACTTACTGTGGGAATTAAATACTGCTGAGTTATAAATGAGAAGTTATTAATAAATAAATGATGTTTGATGATTTATAAATAAATGACGTTTGATGAATTATTTTGATGATTTGAGATGTTATTTTGAGATGTATTTTGAGATGTTTTGAGATGATAATTTAAGATGTTTTGAGATGATGATTTGAGACGTTTTGAGATGATTTGAGATATTGTTAACTTGGGTGTTATCATTACATTCATGGTTGTGTCGCATACATTGCTTTTTTTTGAGATGGAGCTTATGCTCGTTGTGATGGCCTGTATTGGCGTATTTTAAGATGAAGGTTATGCCTTATTGATGCCTCTATTAATTGGAAAAAAATTTAGATGGGAGTTCTGCTCCAATGGTACCGCACGCTCTTTATCATCTTACTACTCATGATATCTAGAAAGCAATAAAATACATAAAGATAAACTGAAAGAAGTATAACACCAAACGAGCAATAATGTCCGCAAAAAGCACAATCAAGGCAAAGAAACTCGAAGATCTTCACAAAGCTTCACCAATCAAAGAAAAAAGTTAGAAATTAAATGCTCAGAATAGTATCAAAGTATCATCGATATAAAAATAAATTGCAATCGGAAACTCAAGCATATTCGTATATCACCTACTAAACCTGCATAAGACTCAAATCTCGATAAGAAAAAGTGAATCACAAGTCTCAAGTAATTGAATAATCATGAATTAATTCCTAAAATCAAATAATAAAAAAAATTTAACAAATTTTTATTGATTTTTATAATTTTTCACCACTAATTTTTTCATTAAGAAAGTTGGAAGAAAAATTAAACCAAAAGAAAAACTAAATCAAAATAAGAAATTAAGAAAGTCAGGGGGCGTGGAAAACTGATTTCAGGGGTATAGTGTAGCAAACAGTGCAGAGGCTCAGTCTAAACTCAATCCAAGAAGAATCTTTTGTTCACAAGCTTTATGCTACGAAAAAAATGCCATGGACCCAAGGAAAAGTGCATTTCGGCCCACTCCAGCAACCAGGACACCGCCGATCCAAATAATGAAAGAAATAAAAACGCATTGTGACGATTCAACTTCTCTCAAAAACACAGAGAACAATCTTCTTCTCTTCTTCGAACGGTGCAACTTCCCAAACTCCCTATGCCGCACCATTTCTTCATTCGATGTCATAGCTGTCGTTACCTTCACTTTGTAATCTTCTACATCTCTTTCTAATCGCATCATCTTAACTACGTCTCAAATTTCAAAGTCAGTTGCGGTAACGTCTCAAATCCATCTTCTGTTCTACTTCTTCAACAAATCCATCACAACCTCCTTACCGCTTCGATTCAACTTCGTCATCGACCGCGTTATCGTTGGCGATTCGCTCTTCTCCGATTTCAGGGCTCGTCGTGGTTTGGTTCTTAGTTCTCAGATTCGATATAATCTCTATCAACAGATATGAATATACATATTTTAATAAGGAGTAACTGAAGGAAGAAGAAATTCTTACATGGAGGAGTCACTCCGATGGTGTTTCAAGCATGATTCAGGTATGCGTTCTTGATTCTTCACTTCTGTCTTCTTCTGCTACGAATTCCTCTTCTAAATTGTTATGTTGTGATGTTGTTGAGATGCCGAGAAATGTTGAGATTTGTTGGTTGAAGATGATGATTGAAGTTGCGATGAAGATTGATGAAATGATTCGATTGAAGAATAGAGAGTGAAATTGAAGAGAGAGTGTGTGAGAAAAGTGAAGGTTGAAGACGAGGATGAGAATTCTTCAGAGAATCTCAGAGATATTTAAAGGTGAGTATTTTGTGATGTTCCATCCTTTGTAAAATGAATTCAGTTATGAATCAATCCATTTGGGCCAATAGATCATGAGAATCGATTAAGAGATCAATGCTGTAGATTTATCAGTTAGAGTTGTTGTTAACTTCTGTTAGTTCTGTTAATAACTGCCAGAGATTTCAGTTAGCAGTTAGTTGAAAGTTAGTTAAGATGGTTAGGAAAGTGAGAGTTAGTTAAGATGGTTTAAGGTAGTTAAGATGAGCTGTCAAATTTTGTTGTAACTGATTTTTCTATTATCTGCTAAATTGGTTTTCCATTTGAATTTGATTCTGAATTGTTATTTCTTTGAATTTCCTGAACTGATTTTACACTAATGCAGGGCTGCACATGGTTTGAAAAAGTTGCAGCAGGGTATTATTTAGAATGTCACGAGAAACACGATACTACTCTGATAATCGTCGAATGGTGCAAACTATTGGCGATGTTAACTCAAAAGTACAAGGCTGGCTTATTTGAACGGATCATGAACTGTTTGTTTGGTTGAATGCAGGTTTTCTGAAGGCCACACTTGCAGAATGTTAAGGAACATGAAGCATAAAAATATGAGGGATCAAGCTTGAAAAATTGAGCATGGTGTTTTTGCAACATGACATTTAACACGACATGAGGTAATTTAAAATCATGAAGATCAGATTGGAGGTGAAGTGGCATAGGTTGTCGGAACTTTGAGCCAAAGGTCAAATTCTGATCAATGGTTAACAGTTCAAGAACTTGTAATTCCATTTGTAATTTTGCATTCCTCCTTTTTTTGTCAATGTCTTGTACTGCTATGTAATCTTGAAAAACAACATAAACGTCATTTAGGGAAGGTTATGAAACTTCCTGGCCGTGAATGAAACTTGTTTTTTTCTTCTTTTATTTTTGGAGTGTTGTAACCTTGAACATGAACGGCATTGATATTTGAGGAATCAATCTTTTATTGTAAACATGTCATGAGGATGAATAGAATTCTGTAAGTTTGAATGAGGTCTTGGCTGGGTAATGGATGATGTTTGAATTTTATCCTTAAAGGACACATTCTTCAAAATACCACTTCCTTCAAATTGCTCTTAGAGCTTCCAAGTTTCTTTGTTTTTCGAACTTGATAATAACCTCACATAGTTTCCCCTTTTGAAAGTAATAATGAGATGATATTTGTACCTAACTTTTGGGTTTGAATGAATAATTCCTTGTAGTACTTGAATTTGAATTCAGGAAATTATCTATGAATGGAATTTCTAGCCTTGCTTGAATCCACCATTTAACACCTTGAATCAAAATTAATCTCAAGTACAATTAGGAGTTTCTATGAATCCAAATCAATTATCATTTCTTCTTAAAATCCCATATATCTTTCAATTGAAGTAACAAGTATTTGAGTAAATGATGATGTCTTGAACTCAACAAACTCACAACTTCATCTTTGATGACATGACCTAATGCCTTGCAGTTTGATCCACAAGATATTTTGGCTGGATGACCAATGATCTTTGAACAAATTCCTTGAGGGTAACCTTAAAGATGAAAAAAAAAACCAGGGCCAGAAGTTTTCCCAAGAAATACTTTGTAATGAATCCACATTCCACTTTATCTTCAAATATTGGTCATTACCAAACTCAAACCCTCACGAATAAGAAAACCATAATCTCTTTGCTCCGAACACATCTTAAGATAACCTTGTAGCTTGAGTAAAGATGAGAAAGAAGTTCTCAATGAGAATGAACACAAACCCCTAATCCACCTTAGATGAAACTCGGGCCTACGATATCGAAGGAGATAATCTCAAGGTAGCCACAAAGTTTTGCCAAGAAAAACATGTGTGATGCTCATATACGACAAAGGATCTTAGGGGCAAAAATAGGGGTATAACAATTGCCCTTATTTAAGTGTCTTCTATTCGGAGATACGAAGGTTAAAATTTTTGTCTCGACGCGATTTAAGATACTTAAATATAAAAACAAGCCTTATTTTTGGCACTAAGATGTCATGCAACGCTCATGATTATGAATGTAAAAGATAAACTTCATGCAGGTGAACAAGACACACAGGGGAAGCAAAAATAAAATCAACAGACTAGAAAAAGACTTCGACCAGGAAAGTAAATCTCTGAGGAACAACATAACTCTGGGGATAGAAATTTGAATCCATTGGAAACAAATCAACTCCACTTGGGAAAAGAGGACTCAACTCTATTGGGGTAAAGTCCAGAGAGGAGGCAAAATAACATCAACTTAATAAAATGAGGAAAAAGCAATGGATAACAACAATCGACAAATAATTATGAACTACCAACTCAATAGATGAAGGTAGAAAAAAAAAATAAAACAATATCTACTTTTATTGAAGGTAAAGAAACAAAAGATACATCGACGTTTACTAAAGGTGAACTACCAACTTTCACTGAAGGTAGAGATTAAAGAATAACACCAGCGTTTACTAAAGGTGAGACTACCAACTTCCACTGAAGGTAGAGATCAAAGAATAACACCAACATTTACTAAAGGTGAGCTACCAACTTTCACTGAAGGTAGAGATCAAAGAAGACACCAACGCTTACTGAAGGTGCGCTAAAGACTTCTAATGAAGGTAGAGAGAAAAGATGACACCAATGTTTACTGAAGGTGAGCTACCAACTTTCATTGAAGTTAGAGATCAAAGATGACACCAACGTTTACTGAAGGTGAGCTACCGACTTCTAAAGGTAGAGAGAAAAGATGACACCAGTGTTTACTGAAGGTGAGCTACCGACTTTTACTGAAGGTAGGATCTGTATTAACAATAACGAGTTTCCCAAAATTCTAACATTCTACCTAGAACGGGTTTCAACTCCTTCTTTTACCTAAGTATTCCACCTAAAAAGGGTCATAAACTTTACCAAATTATGGATTTCACCAAAATGATAACAATTTCTTCTAATAATTCTCCCCGCGATCCTGGTCATAAGCCACAAACTGGTCTTCATTTCTTTTGATAAACATCTCCACAATCTTGGTCATAAGCCACGAACTAGTCTCAGTTTCTTTTAATAAACCTCCCCACGATCCTAGTCATAAGCCATGAACTGGTCTCAATTTCTTTTGATAAACCTCCCCACGATCCTGGTCATAAGCCATAAACTGGTCTCAGTTTCTTTTTATAAACCTCTCCACTATCCTGGTCATAAGCCACAAACTGGTCTTAGTTTCTTTTGATAAACCTCCCCACGATCCTGGTCATAAGCCACGAACCGGTCTCAGTTTCTTTTGATAAACCCCCCCAGCGATCCTAGTCATAAGCCATGAACTGGTCTCAAATTCTTTTGATAAACCTCCCCCACAATCCTGGTCATAAACCACGAACTAGTCTCAGTTTCTATTGATAAACCTCCCTACGATCATGGCCATAAGCCATAAATTGGTCTCAGTTTTTTTTGATAAACCTCCCCACGATCCTGGTCATAAGCCATGAACTGGTCTCAGTTTCTTTTGTTATCAAGTCTTATACTTGAAAAGGGTGATAATTTGTTGTAAAGATCTCAACAAACTGTCTCTATAATATTTAAAAGACCAACAACCCTTTAGAGTAAATCAAAACAATCTTCTCTGTGAACTAACAGACTTGCTGGGGAAGTACAAATTTCTCAAATAAAGAGACCGCCACTTGCTATTATAATAACCCCACTGTGAAATGAAGTTTGATTTCTCAGGGATATACCAACCCATTCCTGCTGAGAGGATAAAGTCTTATCGTGCAAAATAAGTGCACATTCCCAATTTCAAGCTCACAACCTTGAATGGATCAAAATAATATTGCAGTCGGGGACCAAAGATTCAAACTAGGAACAAACTGAAGCGAAACAATCAACTAAAACACCACCCAATAAGGAGTAAACTCAAATGGGATTCAATTTCCAACCAGATAATGAGTTGGATAGGAAAGCTAAAGCAAAATTCTTCTACGAGGGATAACTCAATGGGGAAAATGAAAGGATATACACTTTCTACTTAAGGTTGACACTCTATTGGAGAGAGGATAACATAACTCTGCAAAGAGGATAATATTCCACCAAAAAGATCAATAAATGCAAATGAGCAATGCTATGTGAACATAACGATGAGTCTTGTGTTTTCGTTCATTATTGATGTGGCTCTTTTCAAGTGAGGACTGGTTACATATGACAGAGGGAGTTGAACTTCTGTCTAAGATGTGATGATGAAAAAGTGAACTCTTCATATAGATTGCTTAGGGGTCAAGTAGGATGAGCTTAAGTTCTTCTTGTGAGGAAGTGAAGTTAAGCAAGATGTTCATACATTATGTTACTAGTGCAGTTCGTAGTAGACTTGGTAGTTTGAGTTTGATTCTATCATTGGAAAATCAGTGGGCTGAATCAAATCATGGTCATGCTTCCTAGGAGTGATCTGAGAATCATTTTTAATAATTTATTTTTCTCTGCATCTTAAAGTCAATATCAATGGAAGTTTTTTGTTGATAAATAGAAGATATCATACTCAAGTATCTCTAAGGAGTATGTTTTGAATTCAGTGGAAGGCATTGTGATTATGCTTCAAAATATGAATGTCTATGAGTATTTCTTAGAGGAATCTTTTTGAACCACTGTGGCCCTAGTCTGAAAAATCTCTGGCTGTAGGCTGAAAAAGGTGTTGGTTCATTTAAAGACAAGAGAAAGTAGACAATGTATGGTTGGATGTCAGGACATTGTTCAGGACTTGGCTCCTTAAAGATCAATAAGTGGTGCTTGTGGACCGTGTAATCAAGTACACGTCAGGAGGAAGTGTGACACGTGTTTTTGACAATGCATGCACATTCATTGGAATTTTAACTTCTAGAAGAAATAGTCCATAATGAATTAAGGCATGCAGAATGCTTTGTGAATGGTGCACACTTAATTTTTGGT